AATAGGCGAGATAGGTTGGTAGGTCACCTTCTGAGGCATGAAGGGCTAGACATATCAGAAGGAGAAGCGAGATAGACCTAGATTAAATTCCTGTTTACAAATAGTTAAGGATATGGGTTGCTCTAGCTTTAGGGAAATGCGAAGATTATCTCAGGATAAGAATATGTGGAGATGCGTGTCCAACCACCCTTTAGGACTGACGACCTTATGATGATGATGATGATGCTTTTTTACATAGCAAATAATGTACTTGAAAGTGAAAAATGACAGTATGTCGGGTCTATAAACCTTAATGAATATAAATAATAGTTCGACAGTAATAATTATGATTGCAATGCAAGTTTGTGTCTGCGAGGTATATGTTTGATAACAACAGTTTCGTTGACCATTTTCACACGCGCCGCATAGAATCCGTCACGCTGTTGTTTATTAGGAAACAATAAAAAAGTTTAAAGTTGACTGACCCATTGCAACGGACACGTAAAGTAACGAGCGATTAATTAGTTTTAATTCCATGAAATTAAGGAAAGTAAGGCAACAACCAAATCGACCAATAAGTCGTGGCATTTTCTCTCTTCGATAAATAAGCGGTAAGCTCGGTTTCGTTTACGTTTACAAACCTATAAATGTCACCACTTTGCGTTTTAATTGGCGTGGGTAATCGTTAAGGGCATATTAGCAAAATGGTTTAATAATTAAAATTACAGTTGCACATTGCAATTCTAGTTAGAGACAATAAGAGATAAGGAAGACTCTTTCAGAGAATTTAGCGTAAGAGAAAAATTGAGTTAAAGTGTTTGACACAAGAAGAAAAGCAAAAGTAATCGAATTAGAAAATATTTTCAGTTTTAGAAGTTCTAAATATAGATGTTCGATTACTTATAATTATTAGATCACCTATATATATACAGGGGCATCAAAGTGACTACAAAGAGCGGTTTTGATCCACTCTGTATATATTATCAAAATAAACAAAACTTTGCTTATAATGGAAAAACTAAGTGAACAATGAATCGAATTGTTACCTTGAATAAAAAAAAAAGACAAAGAAAAAAGGCCAGTGACCTGTATAATTTTAAGATCCTTAGTGAAAACTTAGTTGGAATGATACATTCATAAGTTCGAATTAAAAACAATAAGTACGAGACGCAAAAATTATAAAGCAAGTGCTAATACTGTTTACAATTACGTGATAAAATGTACAAATATCGTTGAACTCGGATTTATGTATAAGCAGCGTGATGCTTATTCGCTATTAACTAAATTTGAATACATTTTAAAACCGTTATCTCTGGCACAAATGAATTCAATGTCAATACTGCTTTTGTTGCGGAAAACGTTACCTATACATATGCACGTAGCTATATTCATTTACAGTGGCGATTCGTGGGTGCGTTATCTCCGACAAGACAATCGCAAAAGGCTAAATTATCCATAAAATGTAACCAATTTTAACGTAATCGTATGGAACCAGTTGAAATTGTTCAAATGTAATCGTTTCCTTCGTCAATTCGTTCCAGAATGTTGTTGTGCTATTAGAGGAGATAGACACCCTACAAATTGACTGCATGACATTTGTCATTTTCCAACGGTAATTCGTATTTTTTATACCGCTCTGGTAAAATTGGAAAAATACTTGACGTTGCTCAATAAGAAAGTGGCCAAAAAAACTATTGGCCGAAAAAGAAACTAAAATTCACAGGTTTTTCCATGCTATTTAAAATATAAAATTAATCGATCTTACAAAGTAACGTTCTCAATACAATTGATACGTCGTCTGTAGAAAAGCTGCAATAAAGTTGCAGTAGGTACATTAATTTATCTTGTCATAATAAAAATTCTACGGTTTCTCCTATTGCAGGTACGGCGAATGAAAAAAAAAAACTGAACCAACTTTAAAAGTAACGTTACAGAGCAAACCGACCATAACTGTGTTGTCATGCTCCATATGGTTCATTGCGAATTTCTACGGATACCGAAATGCTACAGGACAAACGTTTAAAATATATTATACGTATCACAGTCAAAAACAGTTACAACTGACCACCGATCTTAATCTTCACAGAACATAAAAAAAGAAATTGCATACCTATCTAGAGTGAAATATGAAAATTTTTCTCATTTCAATATTTCATTTTTTCACAAATTAACAAGCACAATAACTGTTAACAGAAATATAAATTGTGTGGCATTAAACTTGGTTCGGTATGGAGTAGAAGTTGGTGCTATTAGAAGTGCGTCCGCTAAAGTTAATTGGTTAAATTTAACTAAATTTGCTCAATTTAGAAGTAACTAGGTCGTCATGGAAACGGTTTAGATACTACTAGGTATCCATACAAACCACTTACTTCCACATCATTAATTTTAATTGAACTGAAAAAGTTTATAAGTAACACTTTCTTTTTTGGATCTAATTAAAATAAAACGGGAGGTATACTGACTCGGTTGCACTTGACATTGTTAGAGCTTAACTGAAGTGTAACTGAACAATAACAATTAAACAAGAAAAATATATACATAATATAATATAAATGTAAGTATAGTCGCCGCTGACAAAGGGATGAAATGCTGAAAGGATGGTGTATGCACCTAAAGTATTAGTGATGAACTTAAGCAAAATACTGTACCTACTTAGGTTTTATCCGTGGCTTCGCTCGCATTCATGTCCTAACTAAGAGTCAAGGATCATCAACGACTATATGTGTAAAACTAATTTTCCTATCCCTCGGGAACAGTATTTTCTTTCTAGATAAAAAGTACCCTATATCCTTTTCTGTATCCCTGACAATGTGTGTACAAAATTTCATGATGATCGGCAAAGTATTTAAAGTGTAAAATAGTAACAAACTAACAAACTCTCATTTGTATGTATAATATTAGTTACGATTACGCATCTACTCTGTACTTTTCTTCCATAAAAATTTGTTAGAGAGAAGCTGAGATAAGCGACAGACAAATACCAAATCTAGACGAACAAAACCATTTAATTAATACTTGATTACAATGCAAAACAAACGCGTAACTTGATAAGGTAATAATAAGCATTCGATTACTTTTTATCTTTATTCATCTGTGTAGGTATGGTAAAAGTAGTTTCTGTCAAAGTAATTTAAAGCATGCACGTTAATAAACATGCTAAATAAAAATGAAGTGTAAGGACAAATGTAACAAATAAGTACAAAACATTTTCTTTTTTCTTTTTTCGAAATGCTAACCAGCTGATATAATGAAAAAAAAATCGACACCAGACACAAAACAATGCAGATACAGTAAATTATCGTTAATAAACTATTCAACATTAAGTTAATTACACAACAAACCGCTTTTGCACAGATCTAATTAAGGCGGTAATTATTTACGATCTGTTTTGGTGGTGAGTTTGAATTAAAAATTGCATAATCAACTCAGACAAGAATAGATCGATAAAAAAGCGTTACAAAGAAAGGAATGACCTTTTCGACTGGTTTGTTTAGTCCTTTTTTCATTAAGAATATGTAATTTAGCATTTGCCTATTGCAATTTCCTGTTTTGGTTCAAACTGAAGGCAGTGCTAAGTATAGAACTGTCTACGATGGTTCAATACTATCGATAAATGAAAAACATCACGGCAAAATGTGATTAAAGCAGAAAACCTTTGAAATGGTTGAATTGATTTCATATCCGCAAATAAACGCAAAGACAAACAAAAAGAAGATTTGAACCTTTTTTTAGTTAAACAGATGAGGTTGCTTTTAAAAATTAAATTATACACGTTGGTAGGTTGTTTCCGAAAGATTAATTATTGATTAAGCCTGCAGGACGTTTTATCTCAAGGCACTATATACCCTTGACACAGAATGCAGCCCAATGCTCCAGCTTTTTCAACCCTACATCGAAAACTATTCCTTCTACGAAAATTAAGTCAAGGATCTTTTGTACATTTATTTTACAATCAAATTTTATATTAACTAATATTAACGAAAATTATGAAATATCTGAGAAAAACTGATTTTCGTGACCTTTGATACTTTCTAATAAAAATAATGCCCCTATGAAACAATCAAAAAATGTAATTTCAGAAATACAATATTTTCTAGTGGAATCATTACATTTTCCTACTAAGAATATCTTATATCTAAAAACGAATGATAAGTCAGCCTGCATAAGTTGAAAGATTTTTACGAAAAATATCACATTAAAAAATAATTTTCGTAGGTAAGCCAATTTTTATCGCGATCTTAAAATACACCTAAATCAATTTTAAAAATCAATAAAGAAACGAACTAATTCCAATGTCACACTCATTATCGCGTGATATCCTACACTTTACTAAAAGAAAATCGAAAAAAGGCTATTTTCAATCCGTTTTCACAAAATTGAATTAGATTAATTTCACAAGATGTGATGGAAATTACATTTTAATAAAAAGATACCTACCTAATCGATGAACGTAGAGAAAATTGAAAAAGTTCTATCTAATAAAGAAAAACTTATTCTAACTTGTTCATCTGTCTGACAACAATTTTGGCACGAAGTTATTGTTAGTGAGATATTTAATTTTCTCTAAAATCAATTTCGTCAGAAGACCACTTCATCTTTCTAGGTCAAATCTCAACAGTTGATATTGATTGCTTTAACGCAACTCTGGTGACGTAAATTGAGAAAAATCTTTTATAACCTTAGAGATTAAAGCTTTCAAGGTGAAAGCTCTTAATTAAAAATTTAATGTAACTACATAATAGGGTATTATACAGGCTAATGCTCTTTTTAAAAATCTAAAATACAAATTATACTTACGAATAGTATAAGGAAATTAACTAATCCGCGGAGTATCCTTGCAGAATATTAAGGACAATCGTAACAAATACTATAATTATTACAATACTTTAAAAATAAGCAGGTAATGTACTTTCGTTTGAAATTAATAGGTACAAAAATGCTCTGCCATCAATCTACATGGAGTAGGTAAGCCGCACAAAGCTTTTTAACGTTATCCTTACAAATCTACCGGTAAAGCTCACCTTTTCTTTCCGTAGCCGACTTTGTCGAGTTCGATGTGCCTGTAGGTAGCGTAGGTGGCCATTGTTTCCTGTTTTACAAAAATTTTGAAACAGCGACTGCCAGAGCCGGTAAATTAATGAATGAATGAATGAAAGAAGTTCGTTCGCTAAAACAACCCGCACGAGATCGAACCAACAACAGCAAACAGCTGACTAGCGGGCCGCAAACAAGCAGCAGCTTTTATAACGACGATGCGCAGTAGGCCATGCAGTGGAATAATCACACTACAGCTGGCAGACCGATGTTGGTGGTGGATGGGGAATCTGATACTGGTACGAGGGTTAATAAAAAAATAGAACATCCAAGTAAGACAATAGCAATTAATGACTATGTCTGACAGGAAAACTAGTCAAAAACCGTATACCCCAAGGGACGAAGTCTTGCCGAAGATTAAGCATAGATAATGGGGTAAAGGGTAATCACTAGAAAAATTTTTGTTCAACAGATTTCACTGATAGAACCAAATCTAATCCAGTTTCAGATAAGTGAGGACGGAAGGAGTAGTAGGGATATAAATCAGAGGAAAGCGTAGGGTCGATTGGCCTTCAAGTAAAAAGAACGATTAATTCAGAAATTCGAGAATGATTGCTGAAGGTGTATGTTTGGAGCGCGGCGCTGTACGGGTGCGAAACATGGACGGTGGGCGCGGCGGAAAAGAAAAGGTTAGAACCGTTCGAAATGTGGCGTTACAGGAGAATGATGAGGATACCGTGGATAGAGAGGGTTAGAAATGAAGAGGTATTAGAAAGAATAGGAGAACAGAGGACTCTATGGAAGTCAATAAAAAATAGGCGATATATATAGGTTGGTAGGACACCTTCTCAGGCATGAAGGTCTAGTCAGAGACATATTAGAGGCAGAAATAGAAGTTAAGAGGAGTAGAGGTAGACCTAGATTAGATTAATGTTAAATAGTTAAGGATGTGGGTTGTTCTAGTTTTGGGGAAATACGAAGATTAGCTCAGGATAGGAAAGAGTGGNGAAAACAACGCACGACCGCGATGTGACGCTTCAGACAACTGAGCGGGACGCGAAATGTAATGCTTGGTTATGATCAGATGACATAGTTCATACACTGTCGAAGAGTTTTCGGTAGTTAGTCTACCTACCCCTATAGTCAACTATCCCCGGTCTCCCCTACCTAATTTCTGAAAACATCAAAATCAATTCTAAAAATTATTGGACTATATACAAGCCATACCTAATTTCGATGCAAATAAGTTTTCAGTTTCAAATATAAAAATCCGTAAAGTACATGTCGGGAGGAAAAGATCTGACCAAACGGTCGGATAGAGATATCTGTCATGTAACTGCGACAGCAAGCCGCTGAAGATGTCATCCACAGCTGATGACGATATGTCTGGTAGAATCATCAACTAATTTAGACCATGGTCAACAAACCCGGAAACCTCCGATGTCCTAATTGACTCCTGCCATGAAAGCCTACACCAATTAATCAGCATACTTATATCAGAAAATCTCAAAACGATTCACATGAGAATTTTGCGTTTTTTTAGTGGCAATTTAGTGATCTACAGTGATGTCTGCATGCTTTCCGACTAAGAAAAATTACAAACATTTTTACTAATTCCAACTTTGTAATCGACACCACAACCTCATCGTACGTGTTCGACATCCTTCCTCCGCAGGAAGACCGACTAATTATGTCATCGTATCCCCGAAAGNACTATCGATAAATGAAAAACATCACGGCAAAATGTGATTAAAGCAGAAAACCTTTGAAATGGTTGAATTGATTTCATATCCGCAAATAAACGCAAAGACAAACAAAAAGAAGATTTGAACCTTTTTTTAGTTAAACAGATGAGGTTGCTTTTAAAAATTAAATTATACACGTTGGTAGGTTGTTTCCGAAAGATTAATTATTGATTAAGCCTGCAGGACGTTTTATCTCAAGGCACTATATACCCTTGACACAGAATGCAGCCCAATGCTCCAGCTTTTTCAACCCTACATCGAAAACTATTCCTTCTACGAAAATTAAGTCAAGGATCTTTTGTACATTTATTTTACAATCAAATTTTATATTAACTAATATTAACGAAAATTATGAGATATCTGAGAAAAACTGATTTTCGTGACCTTTGATACTTTCTAATAAAAATAATGCCCCTATGAAACAATCAAAAAATGTAATTTCAGAAATACAATATTTTCTAGTGGAATCATTACATTTTCCTACTAAGAATATCTTATATCTAAAAACGAATGATAAGTCAGCCTGCATAAGTTGAAAGATTTTTACGAAAAATATCACATTAAAAAATAATTTTCGTAGGTAAGCCAATTTTTATCGCGATCTTAAAATACACCTAAATCAATTTTAAAAATCAATAAAGAAACGAACTAATTCCAATGTCACACTCATTATCGCGTGATATCCTACACTTTACTAAAAGAAAATCGAAAAAAGGCTATTTTCAATCCGTTTTCACAAAATTGAATTAGATTAATTTCACAAGATGTGATGGAAATTACATTTTAATAAAAAGATACCTACCTAATCGATGAACGTAGAGAAAATTGAAAAAGTTCTATCTAATAAAGAAAAACTTATTCTAACTTGTTCATCTGTCTGACAACAATTTTGGCACGAAGTTATTGTTAGTGAGATATTTAATTTTCTCTAAAATCAATTTCGTCAGAAGACCACTTCATCTTTCTAGGTCAAATCTCAACAGTTGATATTGATTGCTTTAACGCAACTCTGGTGACGTAAATTGAGAAAAATCTTTTATAACCTTAGAGATTAAAGCTTTCAAGGTGAAAGCTCTTAATTAAAAATTTAATGTAACTACATAATAGGGTATTATACAGGCTAATGCTCTTTTTAAAAATCTAAAATACAAATTATACTTACGAATAGTATAAGGAAATTAACTAATCCGCGGAGTATCCTTGCAGAATATTAAGGACAATCGTAACAAATACTATAATTATTACAATACTTTAAAAATAAGCAGGTAATGTACTTTCGTTTGAAATTAATAGGTACAAAAATGCTCTGCCATCAATCTACATGGAGTAGGTAAGCCGCACAAAGCTTTTTAACGTTATCCTTACAAATCTACCGGTAAAGCTCACCTTTTCTTTCCGTAGCCGACTTTGTCGAGTTCGATGTGCCTGTAGGTAGCGTAGGTGGCCATTGTTTCCTGTTTTACAAAAATTTTGAAACAGCGACTGCCAGAGCCGGTAAATTAATGAATGAATGAATGAAAGAAGTTCGTTCGCTAAAACAACCCGCACGAGATCGAACCAACAACAGCAAACAGCTGACTAGCGGGCCGCAAACAAGCAGCAGCTTTTATAACGACGATGCGCAGTAGGCCATGCAGTGGAATAATCACACTACAGCTGGCAGACCGATGTTGGTGGTGGATGGGGAATCTGATACTGGTACGAGGGTTAATAAAAAAATAGAACATCCAAGTAAGACAATAGCAATTAATGACTATGTCTGACAGGAAAACTAGTCAAAAACCGTATACCCCAAGGGACGAAGTCTTGCCGAAGATTAAGCATAGATAATGGGGTAAAGGGTAATCACTAGAAAAATTTTTGTTCAACAGATTTCACTGATAGAACCAAATCTAATCCAGTTTCAGATAAGTGAGGACGGAAGGAGTAGTAGGGATATAAATCAGAGGAAAGCGTAGGGTCGATTGGCCTTCAAGTAAAAAGAACGATTAATTCAGAAATTCGAGAATGATTGCTGAAGGTGTATGTTTGGAGCGCGGCGCTGTACGGGTGCGAAACATGGACGGTGGGCGCGGCGGAAAAGAAAAGGTTAGAACCGTTCGAAATGTGGCGTTACAGGAGAATGATGAGGATACCGTGGATAGAGAGGGTTAGAAATGAAGAGGTATTAGAAAGAATAGGAGAACAGAGGACTCTATGGAAGTCAATAAAAAATAGGCGATATATATAGGTTGGTAGGACACCTTCTCAGGCATGAAGGTCTAGTCAGAGACATATTAGAGGCAGAAATAGAAGTTAAGAGGAGTAGAGGTAGACCTAGATTAGATTAATGTTAAATAGTTAAGGATGTGGGTTGTTCTAGTTTTGGGGAAATACGAAGATTAGCTCAGGATAGGAAAGAGTGGAGGTGCGTGTCCAACCAGCACGGTTCTGTACTGGTGCGAAAGCTGGACGGTGGGTATTGTAGAAGAGGTTGAAAGCCCTCAAAATGTGAAGTTACGGGCGAATGATGAGGATACTGTGGATAGAGAAGGTTAGAAATGAGGCGATATCAGAAAGAGTAAGAGAATAGACGGCGCTATGGAAGTCATTAAGGAATAGGCGAAATGGTTTGGTGGGACACCTTCTCAAGCATAAAGAGACATAGAGACGTAGACCTAGATTAGGTTATTGTTCACAAATAGTTAAGGATGTGGGATGTTATAGCTTTAGGGAAATGCGAAGATTAGTTCAGGATAGGAAAGAGTGGAGGTGCGTGAGGAACTATCAGTCCTACGATTAGGATTGACGGCCTTATGATGATGATGACGAAGTAAAATCCTATTGTTCTAACCAGTAACTAACATGTATCCTACTAGTAGTTATTTACAGAGCAATTACTTACTGTTAAGTAGTTTTTAAGCCAAATTGTTTTAATGGTTCGAAGATGATTAGAAAATGCATAGTTTTCTTCCAGCGTTAAATCGTGATTTTTCGATCAATTTTACGTTTTAGTTTGTCGAAGCTTTGAACTTTCGAAAGCTCTGGCAATATTTGCATTTTGCTTCAAGAAATCATGAGTCCGTGCATATCTAATTCGACGTTTTTCATCGGAACGACAACCGTCATCTATTTGGTTACCGTTTTGCTAAAGATGAAACGGACAAATTCAACCGGAAACATAAAAAAATATTTCGTCCGTGAAATTGCTTTTGTTCTCACTGTGGAATATGCCACTGTCAGTGGAACGACTCCAGGAGATCGTTATTATATTTTATTATTCGGTTCATTTAATGACCGCTTGCATTTGTTGTTTCACACTTAAAAATAATAAAAAACAAAAGCGTTTTCCTATTGTCGAAGAAGCACATTAACCTTGGAATTTTCATAACACACGAAGCTGTTCTAAACAAGATCATTGTCTTAACTGTAAACATACCTGAGGAATTAGAATATGTGTTAAGAATT